ACTCACTGGTTATTTTATATATATATATATATATATATATATATATATATTTTCAATACAAAATCTATTAAGTGGTAAACCTTTAGATCTGTGAGGGGGGGGAAATCAGTTCCTATTAAGATTAGTCATGGCACAATTTTGTTAATATAAACAATATCAACCAGATTAATAGCCAAACTTTAAATATCTGCAATTTTCTTTTTCTGCCAAATCTTACTCAACTAAACATGTCCACTCCTCTACCTTATAGATTTTATATCACATTTATAAACACTTTTCTATATTTATTTTTCCCCTCCGGACATAAATGTGGTCTTTTATTTTTGTCAGATTAATTCTAAACTGTTGATACATTCATTTCTATAATCCCAAACATTTCTGTGTTTCCTAATTTCTAGAAAGAAATAGCTATTACATATTTTAGTGAGTCATATTTTTTTTTTTTCTATCCAACATTTTCCCACAACTACACTTTGAAATATTGATTATTTTTAATTAAACATCCCTAAGAAGATAATAACAGGAATTTATAACTTTTAACCATAACTGTCATGCTATTAAATGCATATGTCTAGTCTTAACTAGTAACTGCTTAATCTAACCATAAATTTTTATTGTATTTGTAAAATTATTCAGTAACTAGGGAGTAAGAATATTATGCTACAATCTAATGCTAAAAACTTGAAATTTATTGAATAATTTTCTCTTGCACAGAAATATATGCAGCATGGTGGAAGAATTTGTTTTTAGTCTTAATTATGTTAACATATGTCATAGAAATGTGTTATGCCCTAGATTATTGCTTTACTATTGCTTACGCATAGGTAAGAGACACATGTGATTTTCCATGAATAAGCACTTATATGTTCTGACTTACAGTGAAAAATGTGTTATAACGCATCATGGGAATGGGACTTTGGTGCAAGTCAATCTGTATTAACAAAAATTTCTATAAAATCTACAACTTATTACCTGTATATTTTTGACTCATTTATCCTCTCCTTCAATCTGTAGTTGTTTGACATTGTCTTCAAATCCTTGTAACTTTCTACCTTTTAGAATTTTTGAATTTTTTTTTTTTTTTTACTTTTAATAAGGTTAATGTAATTTGAAATGTTAATTGCATTTGTTGTCTGAATTAATAATTTTGCTTAAAGTAGATTTGTATAAAATGTAAACTCTTTGTTGCTACTTTTGAACAAGCTTATTTTACATTTTTTGTGTAGGTTTTGCTTAATTTGTTGCTCAAGTACTGAACAAAGTTAATGTCTAGTTTTGCTGATCATAAAAGCTTTTCCAGGATTACTTATTTTTATATGTATAAAGTTAAATATATCTTCAAAGATTTCTTTATTTCTGCCTTAAGAGAATGGTAGTGGGGACCTGTGAAAGAAAAGTGCTAAGATTTATTTTTCTAATGTATATTTTGTCTTATAATTTATATAAAATCACTCAGAATGACAATCCCATTAAGTCATTTTTTTATGCACTCATTCACTCTGTCTTTGATAACAAGTGCATTAATTCCTTTATTTTGTGTAGTAGTAATTTTATAATTGTATACAGACAAAATGTTTAGTGTTTGAACTTGTAGACTCTACAATAGTTATCTTACTAAATATTGCCACTAAAACTTTGTGCCTCATTCTTGTTGAGAAGTTGTCTGTGTGTGCATCCATATAGACACACATGCACGTGTGCACACAAGCCTGAAAAGTTCAGCCTTTCTCCTTTCCTATAATTTTTATCAAATGGCTAAACATCAGATGAAGAGGTGTTTCTTAATCGGACTAAAGATTTTTAGCACTATATATATATATATATATATATATATATATATATAATCTAATACTTTGTGACTACTAAACATGTAACATACTGTGTTTTCAGTTTTCTTTATCTATACATAATGATGAAAGCTTACTTAAATTTATAAGTATCTCATGGGGCAGCTTAAGTACAGATGATTGAAAATCAGCCACACTGGCTAAAGCGTTTTCTCAAACATTCTAATATGAAATAAGTGATATATCTCCTCTTCTAACATTAGGAATTAGTAACTTCTTTTTAAATAGAATAGTTAACCTGAGTTGATGTGTAAATGGGAGATTTCATTTCAAACTCTTCCAGTTTAATTTTATGAAATCTGAGCAATAAATGCAAAGTTCACTCAAAGGGTGCAAAGAATTTTATAATGGCTTGTGTTAAAGGGAGATTGAGCTTACCTCTAAAAATACCCCCTTTTTTTTCTTTTTCATTTCCTGTGTTTGAGTCTTGATTTTATTCTTATAAAAACCATGCAGTCTACATATTTTAGTCTGCCAGATATTTTATGTCAAAATATGACAAAACTTTTATTGCAGATTTTGTAATTTTGTTAAAATGAATTTCTAATTTGTTTACGATATGTTTTTCATCACTCTTTGTACAATCCTTCTATAAATTATTTTGTATGTTAGAAAAAAAAATGACATTTATATTTACTTTTCATGTTTTTCAGTTGTCATGGGAGCTTTTCTTGACAAACCCAAGACAGAGAAGCACAATGAAGGAGGAATGGGCAATGGGCTCCACTTTGGCCTCAGCAGCATGCAGGGTTGGCGAGTGGAGATGGAAGATGCCCATACTGCAGTCATTGGTCTACCACATGGCCTCACTGACTGGTCCTTTTTCGCTGTGTATGATGGCCATGCTGGTGCCAAAGTGTCTGCCTGCTGTGCTGCCCAGCTGATGGAGCATATCATTGCTAATGAAGATTTCCGCGGCAAGCTTGACGTCAGCCAAGGTACAGAGATATTCCCTTCTATCGAGGATGTACAGAAGGGCATTAAGACGGGCTTTCTTCAGTTTGACGACCGCATGAGGACATTGCCTGAAATGGTGAGCGGCGAGGACAAGAGTGGCTCAACGGCAGTCTGCACCATTGTTTCACCTACACACATCTTCTTTGCTAATTGTGGTGACTCTCGAGCTGTGCTCTGCCGTGATGCCATGTGCCCGTTCTCAACCACGGATCACAAACCAGTTAACCCTAGGGAGAAGGAGCGCATACAGAACGCTGGAGGCAGCGTCATGATTCAACGGGTTAATGGCTCTTTAGCAGTGTCCCGGGCTCTTGGAGACTTTGAATACAAAAATGTTGAGGGCAAAGGTCCGTGTGAGCAACTGGTGTCTCCAGAACCAGAGATTTTCATCCAAGAACGAAATGAGAAGGATGAATTCTTAGTACTTGCATGTGATGGAATTTGGGACGTCATGTCCAATGAAGAACTCTGTGATTTTGTCAGAAGTAGAATGCTCATTACCGATAGTCTTGAGGAAATTTGCAATCAGGTTGTAGATACATGTTTATATAAGGTAAGTTTTGTGAGGATTTTTTCCTGCCTCTTCATTATTTCATTTACTGGAATGTGCTTGCTTGTAACCAGATAAATCACTTTCTCTTTAATACTAAGGATTTGATCAGGGTTAGGTCCCCCCCTCCCCCCTAAAGGCTTTCCATTCAAACATTCTCTTAAGCTAGCTTTTAGTTTTGAAGTGCAACATTTTTAATAGTGCTGATTTGACCATTGTATTATTTTGAAATGCTATTAAAGTGTTGAAACATTTCTTAACTACACCTACAATATTTAAACTGAATTCTTAATAACTGTTTTTAGATCAAAAGCAATAAACAAGTTCCTGGAATGATTATTGTATAAATGTTTTGCATGGTTGATTATTTTAATTAAAAAACAAAAAAAAAAACCCTGCCATTACTGAAGATGGGTGAAAATCTCTCATATATATATATATATATATAGGCCGGGGGACTGTAGTATTGCGATGATTCTCTATCATATTTTTTATTCTATCTGGATACAAGATTCAAAAGTATAATATATATATATATATATATATATATATATATATGTATATATAAAACCATTAGGGATTAGTAGGGGATGCTCCTGCTTTTGTTTCTTCTGACTTACTATATACACACATACACGTGGGAAGTGATGCCATCCTTCCTGTGCTTGTGTGAAAATTTTGCACCCGTAAGCTGTGACAGTTATGTCTAGTGTACAGATCAAATGCATCATTCAAAGGTATTGCACCATGTTTTCTTGGTCAAGAATAACACACCACTTGTTCGACAGACTTCTTACTCTCCTGGCTTGGCACCATATGATTTCTGGCTCTTTCCCAACCCTGAAAACCATGTAATTTTCATGTGGAGTTACTTCTGCTGTTCTGCCAGCACTATGGGGACTAATTTTGCTGACACTCTCTGCATGCACAAATCTTCCATTAAAATGGGATGCACTGATCCTGTGCTTATTTTCACTTTGGCTTGTGGATGGCCTGCATCACTCTCCACTGAGGTGCAGCCATGTTTAAAACAGTTGTACTACTACTTGATCTGAGTTTTGCCCATGGCATCATCACCAAAGGCCTGCTGAATCTTCTGGATGGTTTGAGCTTGAGTATAAACTCGATGCAATATCTCTGCTCAAGGTGTTTAGTCATCTTGCATGAAAACAAATCCACTGAGCATGCACTACACATCTGTACTATAGACATAATGGCTAGGAATTTTTGTGGCCTATCAATGCAAAGATTTTCACATATGCACAGGAAGGGTGGTGTCTCCACTAACCCAAAGGATTTTGCCCAGCTGAATGTTTTGTGTGTGACCCCTCCACATCTCCCCTGGGATTCTATGACTTGAAACCACATTCACAGGTGATTTATGACATGTGGAATTGTGAAGTATTTAACTTTCCGTATTTATGTTCAGTCTATTCTGGTTGCTATGATTTCTCACAAGATTAACATATTTACTGAAGGCACAATATTTCTATAGCTTTGATCCAGAATATCATTCTTCAACAATTTCATGCTAGTTTTTATTTCTTAGAATTTTAAATTATTTTCATGTTACTCATTTTTCGTTGAGTTTGAACTTATGTCACTGTGTATTGACTAACAGAAAAATTTGTTTAGTTTATTGAAAGGTTGTTGTTAGTTCTGGGATAGGACCAGTTTTCTGAGAAATTGTGTGTAGATTTAGTTTGCCAATCTTTTATTGATATTAGCCTATATTTTCATGTGTGTTTTCTTTTAGATTTTGTCACAGATTTTGTAGGAATTTACAAATAAAAATGAAAGTTTATCAAGCTTTAGATAAGAATGGTGAGCTCAGGCTGTTGCTTTGATTTGGCATTTTGGTCTTCTTCACAAGTTGAAAGGTTATGGTATTTCTGGACATATTTTTGAACTGATTCAGTAAAATGAAAGAACTTCAAGACAACTTTCATTTCACTGAATCAGAAGAATCTAGAAGAACTTTTTTGCATTAATGCAGGTCTTCTCCAGGGCTCTATCCTTGGTTGGACCTACATTGTTCCTAATTTTCATTGACTTTCTTGATGACATCAATTCTCAATTCAGTATGTATGCTGATGGTGCAACTGTTTACTCCTGTCTTAATAGTAATTCTGATCAGTTCAATAAGATCAAATTGGCAGCTGATTTAAAAATGACCTACAATCCATTGTTAAATGTGTCAAGGAGGGGCTTGTTAATTTTAATGCCTCCAATATGAAATGGCTCTCTTTTAATCATCTGATAGAACCCTTTTTGCCTTCCATCAGAGCTAACTTCCAGGAAAGTAACTCATTGAGCTTTCTCTGGCTAATGGTTTTCACTGATATGAAGTGGAAAAATTATATTGAATATTGCTAAATCTGCTGCTAGAAAAATTGGTTCATTTTGTCATGCTAGACAATTTTTCTCATTAAAATTCTGTCTTACTTATTTATAAGTCTACAATTTGTCCTTCTGGTCTGGTGCTCCTGCTATATATTTAGAGATTCTTGATAAAACTCCATAAATCTGCAATATTATTGATCTTGACTTGGCATGTCAGCTTCAATCACTTTCTCAATGCCACACAGACATAGAGGAATAATGATGAACTTGGCCCAATCTGTTTCTGATAAGTGATTATGGTCTTTTTGGAAGTGTATGGCCAAGCTGAGTTCATAAAAGGTGAAATTTCTAAAAAAATTGGGCTTTGGGGGTGGAATTTCCTTGTTTGAGCATTGCTGTCCCAAGGTACAAAAATGGCTCTAATTTCAGTTTGGTTGAGGGCTTGTTGGAAGCCTATGCTTAAGGCCAATTTAATGGTATGATAAAAGTTTCAGTTGTATAAAAAGTTGAAGATTAGGGCTGTATAACATCAAAAAAGGCAGGCATGGGTTCAGACAGAACAGGACAGTCATGTTAAAGTTTCATGAGTTTCAAAATGACAATTTGGTGTACATACTGTTATTAATCAAGAAATATATCTTCAACGGGCCTGGCATACCACTTCTTTGGCATATTAAACAGCCAAGAATGTGAGCATATAGTATGATCTGTGGCTGCACATTTTGTACAGTACTTTTTTGGCTGACACTGTGTTTGGTTAAGACAGGGTCAGAACATTCAAGGTGTCTTGACATGACATTAGTGAGCTGATCAACAGAAGCAATTTTTCTGGATAAAAATTGCAAGTAATTTCTAATGTCCTTGTTGTTTGTCTCCAAACATTCTTCAGACAGGTTCCCAAGACCATAACCATCATTCAAACCAATTAGTTCTACAGAGTGGTGTAAAGTTCCATGCAAAGTATGATTAATTTCTTACCCATGGAAAGTTGTCACACAAATTGAAAGCAGTTTAGTCACAGATCTTTGAATTTTTTCAAATCTACTTTATATAATGAAGATACAGATAAGAGAATTGTGGATAATTAATTATGGAAAAGGAGGTTATCCTTTTGTTTCTGATCAGCTAATTTTTCTATAGCTTCAATCACCTCTTCAGAGAAAAATCACTTCCTTGTGGTCCATTAGTTGAAGTTCTGCCTTTCCCATCAGCTGTATTGACTCTGTTAAAATAAAGTCTCGTTTCCTGGTGAATGATCTCAAGAACTCAATCCTTAAATTTAAGAATTTCTATTCTGGTAGTCAATGTGACAACAGTACAAAACCTTCATAAACCATGTTGTAATGTTGATGTAAGACAGTGTGATGGTTATGTTTGTTTGATCAGATGTGAGAGGTTTTTGAGTTAAACCTTGATGAGTCTTGAAATCTCCAGTCTTTGTTTTCATCTTGCCTTCTTCATCAGCCGACTCTTCTAACAAATGATTTTTTTGAAGGAGGAAGGTTTTGGAAATTCTGAAAGGGTTTAACCAATACACCTTTGATATTGGTAAGTTATGGTGTATAGATCATAGCCATTTTTAGCATATCTGATGAATTAGAGGAAGAAAATTGTTGCATTTTGAGTAAAATCAGATCAGTTTTCACACAATTTTAGGTGAATATCAGCAAAGATAATGAAAATTTTTATTTTCATCTATTTTGATGGTATCTTGAGGCAATTTATAGCTAATATCCTATCTGTAACCCAAAAATAGTAATATTACAACCATTTTCATCCATTTGGAGACTAAATTTTAATTCTAGCATACACAAAATTTACCAATTAGATAAATTTATGGTCTCTGAAATAAAGTTTGTTCCTGCATTAAAGAAGAAAGGGCTAAGAGTCACATGGTAAACTGAAAAGATTCTAAATGGGTTTAGCCTGAATTTTTCAAAATATATATACTTTGGCATGTGAATCTTAGCCGTTTTTGATATATTCAACGTTTTTGACCAAAAAAAATAGTGCAATTTCCGGTAAAAATTGGACATATTCTCAACAAATTTTGTAAAAGTTCTGATTTTACTTTTATCAAAATCTTAATGAATTCATCATGAATCCATGATTTTTTTCCAATCAGAATTCAATTATATAGTATTCAAAGTTAGAAAAATGATACTAGTTGTATTTCCTCACTTAACCATAACAGATTTTAGTCCATTCACTTATCAGGATGATGTAGCATGGTAAATATGTGGTCAGGATAAAAAAATAGCTAAGATTTTATTCAGATTTCTGTAACTTTAAAATAACATAAAATCAGTTCTAGATATGCTAAAGAATTCTTTTTTTTTTTTTTTTTTTTTTTTTCTCAGAAATTTAATGTAGATTCATTTTATAAACAAATTTTTAAGCAAGAAATAACATGGTTTTTTAACAATTTCCACTTCTGGGCCCACTGTGTGCTATAACGTAGCTTACCTCTGCCTTTTTTATAAATACCTTCATGGTAATTGTTCTGATGAACTTTCTATGGTACCAAGAATTTATGAATAGTACTAGATTGGTAGCAGGGTCTCATCATTTTACATTTGAAATGGCTAGATGTAAATAAGTTCTATGCTAACAGTTTCTTCTATTCTTCTGGCTTCTTGCTTCCCACTCAACATTGATCT